GGACGAGGCGACGGTTCGAACCCCCCGCGGAATATGCATAACGGACGCGGGAAGAGAATAGACCGTGGCGGCCTATTCCGCGAGTTAAAAATATCATGGCCATCCGAAATTCGACGGCATTGATGAACCGTTAACACGGTAACTGCCACGAAAATCTCCATTGTTTTACATAACGCCTCTCATTTCGTGGCGAAGATACTTAGGAACAATTATTAACCTTCGGGGCTCCAATGGCCACCCTCAGTGGCCATTTGATGTAATGCATAGAAAATTGGAGAACTTTATATTCAGTATTAAACTTTGAATCGTGCATTGAAACGTGGCATGTTGAAATAAAAAGAATTTTGTTCCTTAATCTACGTATGATTGAGCTTTTTAAAAATATTCTAGGGACAATTATTAACCTTCTGCACTCCAATGGCACTCTATACACTCTAAGTGGCCATTTGATGTAATGCATAGAAAATTAGAGAAAATTATATTCAATATTAACCTTTGAATCATGAATCAATATGTGGCAAGTTGAAATAAAAAGAACTTCGTTTCTTAATCTATATATGATTAAGTTTCTCAAAAATATTGTTTCTATCTCATCAGAAAATTTGGAGTATTTCTGGTGAAATGCTTTTGCAGTACAAATTGTTAAACATTTTTATTCGACGTCGGTCGTCTTACGCGTTGCAATTGTTTCCAAGCAATTCAGAAGCGCGATCACCAGCGACAACCCTGGCAGTCAACGCTTTAAACGGATGCAAATATTTGGGCGCTCGAGGTCCTACCGATTATGCACGCGCCTCTTCCCCGCTATTTTCGTTTTAACCTTCCCTTTTCCGCGGGGATTAATTGCCACCGATATCGATTCGCTCTTCGCGCCGTGTGAAGATTTATCGTCGCCGGGATTCGCCCGGCGCGAAATAAAGAGATGGCTGAATTGCCCCGGACATTGAATTGTCCCGTTGTTTCGCGGGGGTCAATCTTTTAATTCTTTCCGCTCGAAGGACGGAACGCCATCAACTATGTGTTCGCTCGTGGCTCGCGGGCCGTTTACGTAGGCACCTTAATCAGGATCACTAGAAGTGGTCGACATTTTTGGTTTTTTTTTCCTTTTTTGTGGAATAAATTGTTCTCTCGTTTCGCGATTGTTAGCTTAATTGAGCTGTATTCGTGGATTGGTCACGCTTTCTTTTTTATATGCTTTAAGGATGATCGTTTTGGTTTTTTCACGTTTTTCACGTGGGTTCTTATAGTAAAGTCGGAGTAATTATTAAATAATAGTAAACTATAGGTTACGCTTTCCTCTTTATATGCTTTAAGGATGATCATTTTGGTTTCCTCACGTCTTTTACCTGGATTCTTACAGTGAAGTTGGAGTAATTATTGAATAATAGTCAACTATTTCGTTTTCGAATTATTGTTTGAGAGATTAGTGAAGTCAGTATAATTACTGGGTCATGTTTTATCCTCGGAAAATTACATATGATCTCATTTGATAAATGGTATTTTGCTTTATGGAAATTTTTTATTTTGACTCTCTTCTATACTGTTTTATCTTAATGTTCAAAATATTTACCCATGTGGGGTATAATATTTGTAGAAATTTAATTGCTGAATTCATTAAAAGAGATGAAAGTAGAATACTGTAGTGTACATGTGCTTTTCATAGAAACAGTAAGGCGTTAATTATCGCTAGATTAACATTAAAACAGAGATATGATCTTTAAACTTGGAAACACGTATAATATGGCAGAGTGAAAATTAATTTCCTCGCGTGTCGTAGATGAGTTTGCAATTATTATATAAAAGTTTACCACAGTTGCTATTATTCCCTTAAAAATGTGGTTGCGTGTGTTTTTTGTTGAAAAACAAACTCGGATACTAACGTTGTACCACGCTGACAGCAGATTTTCAATTAAGAAATGTTTTCCGCTGAGAATTGTGACCCCGAGAAGGTTAGTTTCGTTACAATTAATCGTGCAAATTGGAATTCATGGCAAGGTACTGCTCCAATAGCGACTCACGGATCAAGTTGACCTTTCGCAACCGCCAATAGCCCCACGATACAGTATCGCTGATTTATTTAAATCTCTCAAAAAATTATTTCATTTTCAGCAAACTGTTAATTGTTTCCAAGTGAATTTAATTACCATTGAAAGTCGACATAATTTTCTATGGTTCTGTTTTCAATTAAAAATTATTCTGATTTGAAAGAACTTCATTGGCTTTAAGTACTAATTATTTCTTTTTAATTCTCGTTTTATGTTGGCTTAGTTTTTATTTGAATAAGTGATTAAAATTAAATGAATTTTAGTTATTTTAGATTTCAATTTTGTCATTCTTCTGAAAGAGAATTTTTATTTGAATTCTTGTGAGCATCTGAAGAATTTATTTTCCTTTTCATATTTAAAATTTTTAAGTTTTTCTTTTCGTGTTTGCGAAAGAATTTCTACTGGTGCGAGCCTGAAACTCCATCGAGAACTGCTCCTTATTTGTGAACGTCGAGTCGGCGTTAATGAATCATACCTCCGTTAATGAATAAGTTTTACACTGACGTCAGAACTAACTCTGGCCTTCATTAATTTTGATTAAACCCTTTTTTTAATTAGTGATATATCAGCATTTCAATGAATCACTAAAAAATTGGTAAATTAATTTGCAAATGTATGATTTTTCAATGTGACATTTTGCGTAAAAGTAATTTAACATAAAATTAAAATTATAGACAATTTTAGCTTAATTAAATAGTTTCTCATGAAAACGCTTTTATCGTTTCAGAAAACAACGATTTATAAGTGGATCATTATCGCCTGTTCTGTACTTTTAGGGTTTTGTTGAATTTGCATAATTAAAATATTCTACGATATAATGTGAAATTTAAATAAATTAGAAAGGTGTGAAATTATTATAATTAGAGGTCAGGTCAAGTGTAAGATCGTTTTAATTACAAACATACATGCTAATTACAATTTTATCATAGATTTCCCACATTGATTGTATTATAGTGATCAAATGAAAGTTATCACCAATTGTCCAATATCAAGCTTTGCCAATTTCGTATTGATGCTGTTATTCTTAAGAACCATTTCCATTTGCCACGTTTATAAATTCCGCAAATTTAGACGACCAGCATTATTCATGATTCGTTTCCGCTTATATTCTAACGAACAGGGATCGTTCTACAATTTTCCTAAAGAAAGGCTTTTCATCTGAGAGCAAAATTCAACGTCACACGGCTGGATCAATAGTGTACAATTCCGCAGTGGTACTGTCAGCCTGTACTTTTCATTTGAATGTTGAAATCCGAGAATATCTGAACCCTGTTTGTCTATTCCAGAAATCTACACTGTTAATTTCTATCTTTTCACTCAGATCCAGCTTCACCACCATTTTCAAATGTTCTCTATTCAAATATTCAATTAAGTTTTCAGAAGCACTTCACATGTAATCCATATTCTCGGATGGTTCAAATAATATATAACAATTTCGTTGGATCTTTCCAATTAAATTCATCTAAAACTTCACATCGAGATAAAACCGTTTTTCCAAAAATATTCAATCTGCATCTCGCTGTACGAACACCGAAAATTGTTATCAGAGTACCTATATTTACTTCAGTCCGTGCCATTTCAATCCTGTAATCATCGGTATTTAATAATTCAACTCTGTATTGGCCATTCGATCAACTTGCATTTCATTGAGCCATGATATCTCTATTAACACGAGCTACATGATATTAACATTTATGACAGCAGAATATGGACCGTATTAATTTCATTCGTTTTACACCTTCATGGCCGTTCACGGTCCAAAAGTCAAACACGTAAATGTACTTACAAAGTAGCTTGTAAGCCGATAAATTATCCAAAAGGTACACCAGCCAATAAAGAATACCGTGCAAATATTAGCTCCCTAACGACCGATCGCTGCAATCACTTTCTACTCCTATGATTTCCCTTAAACGCCTACAAATCGCGCGGCCATGATTTCGCAACGGTGGCTACTTACACCGTGCACCTAGTGTCGCTCCGAAAGCGATTTCCACATT